AGTTTAGTTTGTTTTCCATTCAACATGATTAAGTTTGAAGCCTTGGTGTTGGTAAAAAGTGAAACTGTTAATGTAAAGTTTAGTTTGTTTTCCATTCAACATGATTAAGTTTGAAGTCTTGGTGTTGGTAAAAAGTGAAACTGTTAATGTAAAGTTTAGTTTGTTTTCCATTCAACATGATTAAGTTTGAAGTCTTGGTGTTGGTAAACAGTGAAACTGTTAATGTAAAGTTTAGTTTGTTTTCCATTCTACATGATTAAGTTTGCAGTCTTGGTGTTGGTAAAAAGTGAAACTGTTAATGTAAAGTTTAGTTTGTTTTCCATTCAACATGATTAAGTTTCCAGTCTTCAAACTTAATCATGTTGAATGGAAAACAAACCAAACTTTACATTAACAGTTTCACTGTTTACCAACACCAAGGCTTCAAACTTAATCATGTTGAATGGAAAACAAACCAAACTTTACATTAACAGTTTCACTTTTTACCAACACCAAGGCTTCAAACTTAATCATGTTGAATGGAAAACAAACTAAACTTTACATTAACAGTTTCACTTTTTACCAACACCCAGTCTTGGTTATTTTTTAATACTTTTATTAATTGAGTGGAAAGTTAATAAAGATAATTGTATCATAGGTGACGAGTTATATACAGTTGTGTTATCACTTCTTTGTTTGTATAGTTCAGGTGTAGCTCTACAAGCATGTACTAATCTCCATTCTATGGATTTTGAAAAAAAAGGCTTTTAATTTACTTTTCACCTTAAAGTCAAAGGATGTGTCAAAATGTCTTCACAACCATTTCAAAGTCGAAACAAACCTGTTAGTCATAGAAAAGTAGATTGTATTTAGTGCTCTACTTTTAATATTAATGTTACAGTTTAGATATTAAATCTGAAGTGTAATACGAGAACATAAAATAAACATTGCTGAATCAGACAAATCCTGAGAGACTTGTACTGTTTGAATACTGAAAAGTTCAAAGTTATCCATTTTTACAGCATCTAAATGTTTCATCTTGTTTACCGAAACCTTCTTGGACTTTACCTGAATTATCCTTGTTCATCTTTAAACATATGCATATTCTGGAAACTGTAGCCTGATGAAATAACTTTAAATGAGGTTAATACATTCTGCATTACTTGAATAATTAACCTTTATTACTACATCTTGACTATAATAATAACTTACTGTTTAGGTAGTGTTTTTGTTTCTTTTTGATAAGTTTTTCCTCTAAGTATAGACATACAAATAATAGGTTGAAATGTCATTTTTACTCAAGTTTTGAAGGTATGTATAGACCCGAACATTTGTTTCTAGAGCATGCCAAGGTATCAACATTGTGTACATATTGTTTCTAAAGCATACCGAGGTATTAACTTTGTTTACATATTGTTTCTAGAGCATGCCGAGGTATTAACTTTGTGTACATATTGTTTCTAAAGCATACCGAGGTATTAACTTTGTTTACATATTGTTTCTAGAGCATGCCGTGGTATTAACTTTGTGTACATATTGTTTCTAGAGCATGCCGTGGTATTAACTTTGTGTACATATTGTTTCTAGAGCATGCCAAGGTATTAACTTTGTGTACATATTGTTTCTAAAGCATACCGAGGTATTAACCTTGTTTACATATTGTTTCTAGAGCATGCCGAAGTATTAACTTTGTGTACATATTGTTTCTAGAGCATGCCGAAGTA